CAGGATAAATTGGGATTTGATGTCTGACAAATCCCCAACTGAACCAAGTATTAAGTCCAAGTTTAAAGTCCCAAGTTCAGTGGAGATAAAAACGAAGGCAGGCTAAAATTATGCTTCCTAGGCCCTACACCGAGACCTGGCGTCATAGCGTTACCAAGCCAAGTGCAAGGCTTGCATAATCATGACCAATCCCAACCCCACCCTACATCCTACCCAGTCCCGTTAGACAGGTCATCTCGGTCATTTTGGCTTCAATTCCGGTTCAGACCCGAATATCCTTTTTTCGACCAGGATGGAGTGGAAATACACAACTTGGAATAATAGCAATGCCCGACTCGAGCACTTTCTCTATATAAGTAGGCTTTAAGAATATTTAATATATATATATATACAAATTAATAGAGACTGACTGACATGATATCAACGTGATATACCCTGATAATAATTTGAGTATCACCCGTTGTCCAACGGAGCCCTCTCCAACGTATCCGAGCATGCAAATGTGACCCCGCGCGCCAGCCAAAGGTCGACTTTAGAAATCGTGACGTCATTTCGATCAGAAATTTGAAAATTGGTCAATTTGGCTGACATGTTTTGTAATACTGAACACTGAATGGTCAGAATCTCGAGGTCAAGACGCAGTCTTGTTTTGCATAATTAATCGCCGAATCTGCTCGCTACTATCCTGACCCGCCCTCTGCTTCACCGTCTTCTTCAATTCTAGCTCACAATCAGAAAATCTTGAACTTATAAAGTGCATTAAAACGCCCGAGTTTAAATTCAACCGGGATTGCTGGACGACATTGGCACCTTAAACAAGGAGATAACAAGCTCGATCGATCTCGGAAGCTGCGGGCCAACAAAATGCGTGTTCATGCATGAGTCACGTGATTGTGCCATGTAATTTCTGGAAGGAGTAGTGTTTTGAGTAAAAAATAAAATCACTTTTTGACCCCAGCGACCCCATGATGACCTTTGACCCCAGTCTGATCACGTGACATGTTTGGGTGGGCTACTGATACTTTTGGCAAAGTTTGGCTGAAATCAGTCAAAATATGTAGCAGCAGTAGACAATGTCAACGTTTGTAACTAACTAACTAACTGACTAGCTAATTAACTAACTTACGGAGAAACATGATGACTGTTGAGCTGCTACCCCACATCTAAAAATTTGTGTCGCTAACCATTGAAAATACACTACGTAATGTACAAGAGTACGAGAATACTGCTATACGTTGTATACCCTTACGACATTGCATTGAAAATAATATGGATGTTCCGATCCACCCCTTTAAACTGTATGTCTGAAATATCGGAGGAGGGTTGTACACGAAACCATACTCTTTTTACCTATGGCTTTCTAATTTATTCCATACATGATATTTCTTGAAAATTGGCTTTGCCCGCGAAGATTTAATTGGGAAATTGTGGCTAACTTATTACAAGCGTTTCCTTAAAGTCTCCCCCAACTTCATTGATTTATTATTGGTTGCATGATCGATGGGTGGACATCCAGAAACTAATTTAATTTTCCTGAGGGAGTGGTGAAAATTCAACACGTTTGGATCTGAGGTTAAAATGTCATGTTATTTTGTGGTTTTCGGTGACGTTGCCATGGCAATTTGTTAAGCTCACCAAGTGTTTTCCTGTTTTAGTTAGAATTGCTTTTTGCAAAGGTTATTGGAAACACATACACACTGACGTACCGGGATCTACTTGCTCTGTGGACATTGTTGGAGTGTTACACAACATAATGGAGAAATGTTGGCTATTATATATTATATTGTCATATATAATGGCCAAAAAAAAGAGACTTTTTAACCTTAAGCCCCTAAAGCTTAATAATAGTTCACAGAGATTTCTTTCACTGATTTAAACCTTACCGATACTCTATCTACCACAGACAACAAAACAAAGCACAAGACAAAACAAACAAACAAACAAACAAACAAATAGCGAAATGAGCCTTCTTAAGAATATCATTTTCCAAAACAACAGCCTGTTTAAATTGACATGAACACACACATATTACAAGCATCTCTTTAGGTTCGTTTTCTTTCTTTGCAAAATGTCATGGTACAGTCCTTCCCGTATCGTCAAGATCCTGACAGAACCCTGACATGCATACGCGAACAATAATAGGACGGGACTTTCGTACCGGGGAAATGAAAAACGCAGCCGAATTCTTGAAGAGGTTAGACGGGAGCCGCCGACGATGGATCCCAGGCCCGGCCTGGCACTGACGGATGTGGCCGGCGGAACACGCTGACAAACCCGTCCCGCCTGGGACCCCGGTCTAGAATGTATCTATTCTCGAAAGGGTTCCGACGGTTTTTTTTTTTGAAGTTCCGAAACGGGTGGATTAAGAGATGGAAATGGCTGGGACTGTCGGCTAGTTGTCAAATGGCCCGCCGGCGATTGGACTTGAAATGTAACTAGGCATGGCGGCCAGTCCATTTAGATTGAGCTCAAAACCCTCGGAACAATGTTGATTAACTTCTTACGATGTTATGACCGAGCTCAATAAATTACCAATTAAGGAGTTTATCCACCAGCTTTATGTAGCTGTATCGAGGGATCGAGTTAGCCGTATCGCAGATACAGGATCGGAAAGAAAAACACGTTGGCAAAAAGTAAAGCACGAAAATAAATAACTTGTAAACTTCTAACATGCTGAAGTCATATAATCACAATGTGTGTTGAGTCGATCTTACACACATGTGCAACTGGGTTTTTTTTTCAAAAAAGGCATGATGGGTTTAAGAAGGAATTAAGCTTTGTTCAGAGATCTAGAGGGGGTCCCCCGCCCCTGTTCAGCCGCTGACTAATGTTATGATACTAGTACAATGAGTCCAAAAATAATAAATGGAATGCTTAAGTTCCCCAATTTGTTCTTGAATTGCCTCAGAATGCAGGAAAAATCATCGTAGATTTCAAAATTGACCCAAGTCCCCAGACTCAAACCCTCCTTTATATACCCCCCCCCATTTCCTGAACGCTAGATCCGCCCCTACAAACAGCTACGTTTCTTTCACGTTGAAAGAAATGTGTGTTGACATTGACGTGTTTACTGCTGTAAAGAAAGTTTGGATCTTTAAGGCTGAACCAGTTCGGAAATACTTTTAATATTCAGGTAAAATTAAACCGAATTCATCCTCGGTAAATGTGACAGTCGCAGTGATTGCTAATTCTAAGTAGGCTTATTTGGAAAAAAAGACCATGTTTGCAAAAACAATCAAATCTGATTCCGAATACAGATCAGCAGGTGAAACTGGAAATCAGTTGAAATTACAGCCTTTGTATGGTTGATTGGAAAATCTGTAGTGAAATGCTATTACGGACGGCGTTTGTTTTCCGTAGGGACCTTGTACCATAACGCCAATCGGTTCATCACTTGAACGAGAGAAACCAGTTATTATTTTGAGTATTAACTCCAACTGCGCCCAGAACAAGAAATGCACTGTTCGAATTTCCACGAGAAATTATCCAATGTATCATTGGAAAACCGTAGACAACAGTCTTTGCTTGCCACTTTGACACACACTGAAGAAATCTAGACACTATCAGCAGAGAGGTCATGAATTCAGTCCAACATTGTCAACTTCCCGGTAAACCTCTCCCCGCTATCAATTAGGCCGATATCCCATAAGTAAGGTCCATCGGAGACGAGAATATTTTCAGCTGCGTGTTGCACAAGTAAAATCCCCGCGATGTCGGCCCGGTGTCGGATTACGAGATGTAACTTGACGTGAATGTCATACATGATTTATCCAGAAAAATCTGACCGGCTCCAAATGGCCGTGGTACAAGGAGGGGGGAGGGGGGGGGAGGCGTGCTTTTCAGTTGAGGGGCTCTTGAGGCATTTCTTATTGGTGTCTTTTGTCTCAATTTTGAGGGTGTGTTTATTTGTGTTCATTTGCCATTGCCCCTCCTATCCCATAATATCTTACCATATTCGGGGGCATAATGCTAACACAAAAAGTACCTCGTCCATCAGAATTTAAGGTTAAAAATTTTACAAAATAATAACTAATAACATCAATAGGTAATAATACGATAGTAATATGACGTGTACTTTGTTTATCTTTGTACCTGTACCTTATTTAGGTGTATGATCAGGCCGTTCTCTATGGTCGAATTATAACCATAAAACTATAAAGCCAGTCGCAGCAAAGTTGACAACTTGTCGTTAGGTGGATTTTTGAATCGTAACCTGTTATGTTGTTCTAAAGCCCTCGCTTTGACTCTGTGAGAAAAGAATGATGGGAAAGACCCCCTCCCCCTCCCCCCCCCCCAAAAAAAAGTAAATTAATAAAAGAAGGTTACCTAATATCAGTTGACAAAAGAGCAGCTTTTCGCAGATTCTTAGTAATTGTCACCTTGTTCCATCCAGAACACGGGCATTTCTTTAGGATAAACGATCTGCTTTGTTTGGATTTATACTCTCTTAGTTTTATGCTGGAGACATTTCATGCACATTTTGCCTGCCAATTTGCAAGCGAGGACAACTTGGGCCCTTGAATGCGTATATCACTTGTACTGAAGCCTCCAATTTTCTCGTTTCTCATTAGCAACAAGCGCCATCGCGTTCGCTGAAGTATCAATCATCAGGCTTAATACGCAGGCCCGCCCTCCAGGGTGGCATACTTCTAACTCTGACCAGCTTCCCGTGGGCGCACGGCTGGCCTGGCCTGGCTAGGCTACACGCTGCTGTAACGTTTGTCGACAACAGTCATTTCCTCGCAATTTGCCTGGGAAGAAATATTATATACGCCGCAGCGACCGCTTTACCAGTCACAATTTCCACCTTGCCGAATGCACGAATGGAATACTATGTTTTTTTGGGGACAAGATTGTACTTTGACAATGTCCGCAATGTTGGCTGTTTGGCTACTCTGCAGACCGCGTCTGGCATTCCTAGGTCCCCGGGGCAAGTGTATGATTACGCGAGCCCTGCAGTGTTTGTGGAACAAAGAAATCTTTATGCGGATTAAGTTTTAGAGAAGACTGTACAATGGCCAATATTTGGAGAGCCCTCATGCAAGATATCGACCCTTTGCCTTCAAATGCCAGCCATCACTTCATTGGTGGTACGCCCGTATCACGTGACCCCTAACGGTGAGGACAGTCGGCTTGATAATTATGTCAGTACTCTGTCAGATGAACATAAATTTCCACCAAGGCGTCGAGCATCATGCACAGCTCGTTCTACGACACGGCGCAGATTGCCGGCGAGTTTTACCACGGTGCCACCGCCACGGAGTCCACCCCAGCCGCTTGTCGAAGCACCTCCACCAACGATGGATTCTGTTACGCCCAGAACCCGAGGTATTACAATATGTACTACAACAGCAGCGCCGGGGCGGGAGAGGGTTACCCCCACCACCACCCTGCCAGCGAGCCCGTGTCCATCCCCGGGCTGTCGGTGCCCCCTCCCCCGTCCGCCGAGCAAGGATGCTACGGTAACATCCTCTCGGAGGCAGCAGCGACCTCAGCCACGAGGAGTCACAGGCCCCCTTCCAACGGCAGTTCCGACTCGGCGGAAGATGAGGAGGGGATTGGGGGTGAGGGTTTGAAGACGGAGAGCAGCTCACGGGGACACGGAGGCGGCCACTCCAAAAAGATCTACCCATGGATGACAGAGTCAAGACAGAATGTCAAACAGAAAGTCACCTCTGCCAGTGGTAAGCTTACAATAAGTTGTGTATATGTATCCTAATGTTAGCATTTTATATGGTCGAGACTAACCCGATATTTCCCACTTTATTTTGGCATGGATGTTCGTTAGTTATAGGCGTTATTCATTCCAATATAAAATACTACTTAAATTATACATCTAATATCTCATTACAAACTAAAATCTGAACACATTCCACAGCAACAATACAATACCTTGATTGTCGATAACGAAAGCCAGCTCAAATTATAAACGAACTATGAAACACGGAGTATTAACTTTTAAAATACCAATCGTTAATTTTTGATACCCCCCCCCGAAAAACAAAACAGCAAAAATGACACGAATCAATTTATCAATCAAGTTTTCTGTTCCGAAAGAAATCCCCAAAGACAATTGTTAAAGCTCAAATCAGACTTTTTTACATCCTTGCCAGAGATACAAAAACATCCACTGTAATAAACGGTATCGGTAGGCGATATGTTGTCATGTAACACCGAAAACCCTTTATGAAGCACTGCAATAGTGCAATAAACTAGCCTGGACAACAAAGAACTACGATATCACAATTATCAAGGTGTGAATAACAAGGCTTGACGAAAAGTCAAGACGAAATACATGTGTAGGCCTACGTTGTTATTCATACCAACTTGATATCTAAACATGCCGTACGTTCAACATGATAAAAACTGAATGAATGCAGTTGTGATTAACAACAAAAAATATGCAATCACAGCTATACAGTTGTATGTATTTCTTAACACTATTCCCATAACTTTATAAGAGACAAAAAAGTAAAATGTAATTTAAGACAATGAATAACTTTGGTTTTTGAAGAAGACGACAGTAAATATACCTTATCCGTATTGTAATAAATGATTTTTGTTGATGTTGTCTATGTATCCATATAATTAATTGTGACTTACACCAACGTGATTGCATGTATCTGTTCCTTAGTTTTAGGAAAATACTATTTTTCTTTCACAAGAAAAACAGTTAAAGTCTTGCTTGATTACATTTGATAACATGACCACATTTTAAATTATACTTTGCAATACGCACCCCCCCCCCAAAAAAAAAACACTAAAGGCGTGTGCGGCACAATGATTAAGAAGCAAGAAGAAAAATTTAGTGAAAAATAAAATCTAAAATTAAAACTTCCCAACGCAATTAATGCATAAATTAATAATCAAAATCCACCTCACACGACATGCTGAAAAGGCTATTACTATATAGGTTGAAATGTGGACGTTTTTCTCCAAAACATGTTGTTTAATAAGGAAGGACTATATACTCAAAACTCATAAGCACCTTCAACAAGTCATGCAAGTAAAGGATATCTATTCTGCTCAGTTAGATCTCAAGATAATTTAATTGAGTCAAATTATTAAGAAGTAAAAAAACTTTTCATGTTAATGTTTTTTTCCAAGCTTTGTTAAAACTCACCTGTTGTCTGGTAATTTGTTCTATTGTCATTCAAAGGTATTCGGATTGTGATTTTAACTTTGTTCTTTAAAAGAAATATTGGTTTATAATGTCACAGATTTTTTCCGAGGTTTTCAATGTTGATGATTACATGCTATGTTAAGTCAATCGTCTTCAATCGTTTTTATTTCGACTTCGACTTGTTTTAATCATGATATTTTAACAACATGGTTTGTTTTATAAATTGACAGCGTCCGTTGGATTTTGACCGTTGTTATATGTAGCAACGCTTTTAAGTGTAGATCTAGCTAGTTAGATCTAGCTATAAATAGATTTAGCTATAAATAAGATTAAAGTTCAATAAAAGTTTGGAAATTTCATCAGTTAATAATGCACAACGTTTAAAAAAAAAACTTTTGGATGCTAAAGGCAATTTATTTTTGGCAAATTGCCGATAATTATGTCATTCATTGGTTGTTTCTAGGCAAAACGGATAACAAGGTATATCGTGTGTATCGTGTGTCACTATAATTATTCTAAGTTCGACCCCAGGTGTTCCTTATCATGTTTACGTTATACACTTTGTTATGCAGTGAAAATCTTGACTTTTCAATTCTCACAAATCAACATGAAAATAATTCATTCAAGAATTAACTGAAAGCAAATTCACAAACTGTGCATGGTTAATATTTTATATAGATTTAAGTTGCTCTTTCTCTTGGATTTTTTTTTGTTTTCAGCTTTGATACGTGGGCTGTCCTTATGTTTTGATTAATTTCTCCAACTGCTTCGTTTGTAGTGATTTTTATTAGAGACCCGGAATTTGCCATTATGTGAGTTGAAATTCAGATCATTTACACGAGACGGTATCGTACTATGATTGTAACAAAAGGAGAACCTTTCTTTGTCTTTTCACTTTTAAACTCGCATCATTCTTTAAATATTTACCTTGTAATAACAAACTTGCTACTTTCTTTTGATAACAATCAATCTAATAATAGAGAACACATGTTTATCTGTAAATATTCTCATTGAAAAGGGGGTCATTACTTCTTGTGCGTTTCAATTCAAATTGGTTATGTTTTCCTTCTCAAACGTGAAGCTATTCGCATGTTATTGTTTCAAAAGTCGTAACTTGTTTTCGACTGCAAAATACAGACATTTACAAATTGCGTTTATATCATTTGGAAGGGTTCACTATACATGGCGCCACCAATCGCTTGCCTCGAAGATAAAACTTTCTTTTAAACTTATACGGTCAACATTCTTCATATTTTAATATAACCATGCACTTACTCACCTGTCCTTCTTTGTTTAGGCCTCGGCCTAATTATATTAAAATACAGTTAGTACAAATTAATGCTTTTGGAAGCCTTGTGAATACCCCCCCCCGCCTCCCCCCCCCCCCCCCCCCCCCCCACACACACACCCAAATGTGTGTTCACCATCGATCGTGGACGTCCTATTGTCCCTCTTTTACTCTAACTTTTTAGGAAGACTCCCATAGGTTTTGTACATGACCCTAATCGCGGACGTATGCTGGGAATCGTGGACGATATTGTTCTCTTTTGTTCTCTGGTATTTTTTGTCCACGGTTTGAAAAGATGAACACGTACAGCCTTACCTTACATACCTACTGTGGACATTCCTTTGTATTCGTGCAGTTAAGATAAACCTAACCCAAAAATGCCTCTAAACCTGTTTTCCAGAGAGTGGGAAATCTAGTGTGGACGTGTGCAAGTCCACAAAACGTTCACGCTTTCTGCATCATGTGGGCCTCTGTTGTTTACATGTCCACAAAGAGTATGTAAGGTTAGAGCACAAAAAGCCCCCCCCCCCTCCCTCCAAAAAAAGTACTCAATTCGCACACGGTTTTTTTTTTAAGTGCCAAGTCTTTGCACGAGTAGAACGCTGTTCTTGTTGTTGTTGTTGTTGTTTATTTATTTTATTTTTTTTGACCCGCATGTCGACCTTTTTTCTTATGATCATAGCTGTGAAATGGAATAAAAATCGTGTGTCCTTATTCTCTGGTAACTTTTAGGTTGAGTACAGTGTTGCCGTGGCGTTTACATCATTTATTCCACGCAAGTCTCTCCGATGATATGGACGCCTTGATACCAAACACCGACGAGTCTATCCCTGAACATCTTTCTTTGTCTTTCAAGTCTAGAGAATTTTTGTCTCAGTAATATTCGTCTTTTATTTCCAATATCATTTCTAATAACTAGTTTAGACATTTTTTTCTCCAAAATATGCCAAACACCTGAATAATTGTGACACGAGGTGTTCGGAGGAAATTCATGCTCGCAAAATATCGCTTTTTTGGCTGCATTGTTTCGTAAAAAAGGGGGAGAATTTGAATTTTGAGTTTGAAAGTTGAATGTTGGATTTTGAATTTGAAAGTTGAAGTTTGCATTTTGCATTTGAAAGTTGAAGTTTGCATTTTGAATTTAAAAGTCAGGTTTGGAGTCGATTTCATATGGGGTATTGCTGTGTTGTGTTGAGTCAAGAAACAGATGGAACAATTCTATTTTGTTCTTTTTCTAATCTTGTGTCACACGTTTCTCAAGTTAGATGATCTTTCATTCTAGTAGAAGTATATTTAAGGAGAATATAAGGAAATTTTTCGCAGTTCACTGTGTACGTTCCACATCGAGATTTGCCTTTAACAATCGGCTCAACAACAATCAGTGTTCTCCCCCTTCCTTCATCATTGCCATAATAAGGATATTAATGTTGTTGTTGTTGTTTTATAAAATAAAAACAGATGAAAACTTTGACCAACAACCTCTTTGTAAAAAACGATGGAACCAAATTATTTACTTAATCAAACCGTGCGGATTTTATTTTATAAATCAGGGGACCACTTTGGAGGCGGCCCGCCTCAGGCGGGTTAGGGTGACTCCCATACAGAGAAATGAAATTACCTCAACTTAGTTGTAACTGAGAGAAAAATACAAGAAATCACTTAATATGGGAAGTTGAAGATTTGTTTTAACCTTTTATTTATGAGTTTACGCCAGTTGTCGTCCTATTGACTTCATGTAGTACCGATCCGACTATTCAAAAGAATTCCACACTTCGTTATTGTTTTCATAGAGAAGAAGAAACAGCTCGAGATTGCAGCTAGCAAGCGCAACCGGACCGCCTTCACCAGTGCTCAGCTAGTTGAGCTGGAGAAGGAATTCCACTTCAACCGGTACCTGGGCCGACCCCGCCGCATCGAGATGGCCGGCTCGCTCAGTCTGACCGAGCGACAGATCAAGATCTGGTTTCAGAACCGCCGGATGAAGTACAAACGAGACGCCAAGGAGAGTGAGCGCGCCGAGCGGGGGATTAAAGTCTCGGATTCGGTGCTGGCCCGCCAGTCCGAGCGGAGTCCACGCTTTATCGCCGCCACGGGCAGCCCGCTCATGCTGAACTATCCGGGCAGCGCCGGGGGAGGCGGCGGGATGACAGCCGGGGCGGCCTCACCATGCATGGATACCCGGAACTTTCCTCATGGCGGAGGGATATATAACCGCTTTGCGTACCCACAAGAACAGCTCATGAACGCTTCGCCTAGACTAACGAATTTGTGACGAATTGGACTGGGCCCCACAAGCTGACTCTAAATCTTGAATTACTCTCTTTGTTATAAACTCTCCTTTGTCATCTCTATACAAGGACTATAGAGCGGATCCGTAGCTATCGTACGTGTATGGATGCTATTAAGCAATGGAGACAAAATCAACGGTCAGCACATTGCTACAAAAATACACGTGAAAGCACAACATGGCCCGACTCATTACTGCTTAAACAAGATTTAAACACTTTCGAAAAAGTGTCGACGCAACCATGCACCCATCTTAAACTTGTGCAAAGTTTCCAACTGCTGATTATTTCTGTAATGGTTGGTTGATTGCGTCGCCACCACACGGTCATCTTGAGTTGAAAGCCTTTTCAGCCGACATATAAAATACTACTACTTTTATGCTGCTAAAGCAATTGCGCAAAGGTTCATCTACTGTTTAGACAGGGTTTCGAATTGTAACTGTATCTTCTTGCAATAACGATGTAATTATCTCGTTTCTTAAAACTGCAATGCTGACGTACTATTCCTTGATAAATGTTCGATATGATCAAACGTTGAGGTCGGAAGTTATCATTCTTCTGTTTAAGTTTTTATAACTTCCGCCTGCTTTTCACTTGCTATGGTATTTTCCACTATCTTCCCGCATGGCAGTTGTTTAACTGCAATGGGTTTTTTTCTTTTAAGTAAAATGGGCGGATGCAAATTTATGTATTGATGGTTTTTTGGTATTTTGAAGAAAAAAAAGTTTTCAAGTTTTTTTCTCTTGGCTGTCAAGAAAACCTATATTTTGAAAATTAAGTGGAAAAAATGTGGGAAAAAGGTAATGTACAAGATTTGTAAACATATAAAAACGAAACTATCAAGTTATTGTGAAATACCTTACTCGACTGTAAGTAGGCCTTCATGTATATAATAGCCTCACACATCCTGTGAAATCATTGCGCCTGGTATGCTGTCATTTTTAAGAGAAATGGTATTTTGTATCATTCTCCGGCCGAACCGTCTTGGAGAAAAACTTTTTTTTTCAAATGCTGCCCCCAATTGACAGAATTATGTTAGTCCACATTTTGTTTGCAATCGGATACAAATCCGTGAACGGGCGGAAGCCAGCTAGTCTGGTTCCCTGACCTGACAATTCCCTGACGTCTATAAATTGTTATTGATTTATAAATCGTCTGAAGTGTCGGGTCAGGGAACGAGACCACAGGCACAACGCTTTTTTTTCTCTAGTGTTTTTTTTTCGGGCATCCATGACCACATAACTTTAAACAAGTCAGTGGAACGATTTCTGCTATAAAATGCCAACCCAACAATCCGTTCATTTCAGAAAATTACAGCAAAATCAAATGTTGAATATTACCCTTATACGCTCTTTCCTCCACGTCAATTTGTTTAAGATTGCGTATACGTGTACAGCAATATTTGGCCACGATGCATTAAATAACTGTGACCATCCAATGGCTACTGCCTTGGTAGTATTTCCAAATGGCAAAAGTGGGATTAAAAGTCATCAAAACACAGCGAAATATCGTTTGGATTATTAAGTCAAAACTCCAAAGTAGTCTCTCACGCTTCTATTTGCAAAATTGACTTCGTAAGACAGTCAGGTAGGTTTTGTGCTCGGAGGACCTTTTATGTTGCAGTGTCTAAAATCGAAAGATGGCAAACAATTTCTGGAGGTATGTTTCTCGCACAATACAAAACAAAAAAGCCCAAGGAAAAATCAGATCAGAAATGAAGTGACTGAATTCCCTACTGAAATTCACCAAATTTTCTCCAAGGAGTCCCTTTGTTCAAACGTCATGAAAATTTTCTGAAATTGTCTCGCTTTATTCACAGGCCAAGTCACAAGTTGAAACGTTAATTCTCAAGCGTGTCAGAACCGTGGTATGTAAATATACATGATTTGGACATTATAAGGGAAAACAGGGTATGTTGTAGATACTTAAATTGTTTTGTTACATTTCTGCGTGTCTTTGTTGTTTTGGAGCATCGGAATCGGTTGGGTACGCAGTGTTATATTGTGTACAGTGTAGCGCCGTTTGGTGCGATTAGAAATGTGTAATAGAAACGTGTTTGTGCGATGAACTGATAGTCACAGTATAACTAATTTGACTGAAATCGTAAGAAATAAAGTCATTTGCAAATCATAACGATAAAACCTATGTGTTTTTTTAGATGATGTGTAACATTTGACCTAATCTTTGGCCACTTTTTGTGTCAAGTGTTACCCTGACTAAAAGGGCAGTAATAAATTTGTCTTTTGTTCTAAACAAAAAAGTCAACATCAATGTCTTCTTTTTTGTCAACGTGGCGTGTTGAATATTTTAAGACTGAACTTCACGACTGAAATGTTTCATCGTGTTTAGCACGAAAGTATTGATGAACGTTAAGTCAGAAGATGCTCTCTTTTTATTTCCAAAGGAAAGTTGAAGCTAAGAAGTAAAATTTTCCATCGTGGGTTTGTGAGTGCTCTCAACTCATCAAAACATTCATCACATTTTTCAAAAGCCCCCCCCCCCGAAAAAAATTCTGAGTTTGGAAAAAAGATTATTCATTTTGCTGCAATAGCTTCGGCTGTAATGTCGTTTTGTCTCGGTTAGACACAATTTTAGACAAAACACTTAACCTGAAGGTGGAAGTTGAAAGTTAAATTTTCAAAAATCGGACGGAAGTAGAAAAGAGAATGGCGACCTATATTTCATGTCATAACAAAGCAACCAAGGGATGTTTCGACTGTTTTTCTTGGATGCACGTTAATAGAGAAGTGTTTGTGTTTCTGTTGCGAAGAAAATCCAGGGACACCGCGAAATGATTTCACTGCGAGTATAAAGACACACCGTGTGTTGTTCCAATGGTTATGGCAAAACATGAAATGAGACTGTAGTCTTAAGAGCCTTCTTTGGTCGGGTCACGACCTTAGTCGGACCTTACCAAAATTAGTAAATAAATAACCCTTTTCCCGACGTTTTTCGCGATCCTCTGTATAAGCACACATCTTGTATATATTAAATGATTAATGAATGTCAGCTGCTTCCCTCACTTTAATCAAAAATTTGAATAACTTTTCTCAAAAATATTCGTGAACGTGGAATGTTGGGGAGTTTGTTTTTACTTGTTTAAAGATAAGCGGACGCATGATTTCCAAGGAACAGGATTTTTCTTTTACTTCCTAACCTTTCCAATTGCTTCGCAATTGTCACCTTTAACTTTTTTTTGTTTCTTGATCTCAATTAGTTAATGAAGATGCAGATTATATTCTTTAGTATTCAGTGAAAGGATTTTGAGTAAGAAGATAGAAAAGTATTTCCGAAATTTGTCATCGAACTTGAATCGAGAGTAATATGCACATTGACCATTCGCGTAGAATTTGAGGCCCGTGAGTGACCCCCCCCCCCCTCCCCTTTGCGAATTGAACCCATGTTACGCATATGCCGATCGACATTTATCTACATAATTTGCTTATAGGCTTCGACGGTGAAGAATGCATTCAGTGGGATCGTTCAGCCTTTAAACCAACTCGGATACACTGAACAGGACCTGAATTTTACAAATTTCCATTCCTTTGAAATGTGTGAAAATTATGAGACAACCCCTTTTGCATATAGTTTATGTAAAGTGCACTTTTTAATCATCTCAATGTACTATCATGTTTTTTTTTTATCAACTGAGGACGATGTTGGTGTGTTGTCATTTAAGGGGTACACGGTCATTGGTTAAGGGGGGTTTCTGTTCAAATCGTTAACCTAAATATCTTTTAATTGACAATATTTGTGCAAAAAGTCTGCTCGTTGAGGCTTTGTTAACCAATGAATCGACAAAAAAAGAAAATTTGCCGGAGCGAAAAATCCGAAATTCTGGCAACTTTTGTTTGTTTGCTTTAACAGTTTCTGCGTTCAACGACATCACAATTTTGATCGAAAGTATGCAAGTTCGCATTAGAATAAAGATCTAAAAGGCCTTGATAATGTCAATATGAAGTTTGAAATGTAAACTAAAATGTGACATAAAAGTGCACTTTCAAGGATTGCATTAAATTGCTATTACATGGTGTCTATCACTTATCAGGAGGGGGTATATTGATATGACGTTTATGGAACGCTCATTGTTATGTATTCGGCTGGTGGCATATTTATTATGTAACAGCCTGTCTTGTTTTTATGCCCCCCCCCCACTCTCACTATAAATTCACAATTGGACAAGGCAATACAGTAAAACACCGCTATAACGAACACCGCTATAACCGACATTTGGCTATAACGAACAACCCCTTTGGCTCTCAAATAGTAAATTATATTATAATGCACAATCATTATCACATGATGAACGTTTGTATTAACCCCATTGTGTTCGTTATAACGGTGTTCTACTGTATAATGTGTAACTATTGAAACTAGGAGAAATATCAACAAATTTTCCGTTGTAATTTCGCAGCATTGAGAACTGCGTTTGTAGTTGGGCCAAGAAAAAAAATACACATTGGTTTCTTTTTCCTTACCCAACCTACACAATCATGCAGAACCTTAAATATTTTATTCGAAAAACTAAAAAAAAAAGTATGGTGCCGCGCCTACCCAAGATTTTTGCGGACATCGTCTTGCATGTTTTTGAATTTTTATTTCATGTTTTGCAAGCTTGGTCGGCAGTGCGGTCTTGCCGCAGCGTGCGGAGAAGCATATGAACAGATTTTTGCGGACATCGTCTTGCATGTTTCTGAATCTTCATTTCATGTTTTGCAAGCTTGGTCGGCAGTGCGGTCTTGCCGCAGCGTGCGGAGAAGCATATAAACAGATTTTTGCGGACATCATCTTGCATGTTTCTGAATTTTTATTTCATGTTTTGCAAGCTTGGTCGGCAGTGCGGTCTTGCCGCAGCGTGCGGAGAAGCATATAAACAGCGCAGAAGACGCAGAATGTGCAGTTGATTGCACATGTTAAATGTTTAATGCGTGCAAAAATGTTATATTAAAACATTAATCGACCATCACCCCATCCTACTTTTTCTGGCTTTTTATATAATAAAAAACACAACGTTTTTCTTGGCCTCAGAATAAAATAATTTAAGTTTTTTTTAACATATAAAATTTTAACATTTGAAGAACTTGGCGGTAATTTGACGATCCTAACAGAAACAACGTATTTTCGTTACTTGGTATAGGCAAGTGAATACTGAAGAGAATTCCATCGGGAACCATTTTTGTGGGGCACAGTTTGATCGAGTTTAAATCGTTTGATATGTATATCATTGTATTTCCTGCTCCTGGCCAGTCCAATCAGCATCGTTCTCTTATTTTGATTGTGAGTCGGCGCAGTGCAGCTTGCCCTTTGACCTCTCGCATTCCAGTTCAGACTTTCTGTAGATACGTAGACCCTGAGGTCAAGAGAGGGCAGTGCTATCATTAGTCTTCCTCATTCCAAGTCAACAAGCGTTGACAGCCAGGGCTTATCACGTCACAACCAACTGGCTCATAGTGGCCTTTTTTTTAGAACATTGTGCATTATGGAAGAAATGTTTGTTAAATTATGCAATTGCTGTTGCATGCCAAAAGCGCCTTCAGTATTTGTCCAGCTAGCTGCAGCAAAAGTAGATTCTTTTTGTATAGCTGGTGACAATAATTATTTATTATCAAAGTCCTACAAGCTTTATGTAAAAATAAACTCTCTTGTGATGGAGTGTATGTAGCACACAATTGTCCTACCTTGATGTTTTGGAGACAAAAACGAAACATTCTTTAGTAATTAAACAAGAAACAAGGTAAGCTTGGCAAACTGGTCCCAGAGTGCAAAACTTGGATTCAATCGATTCAGGATGACTATTCACTGGAAGTATGCTTGCATGTGGAAATCAGAAGATTTTGTGTCGAAAATAATTGTTTGACATTGACTCCCAGAAATGTCCACGATTAGATGACTTTTACCCAAAGCACATTTATTGATAGTTTCTTAGGCCAAAAAAAAAAGTCTCCGGTTTCTGGTATGGAGCTTGCCCAAAAAGTGGTGCGGCGACGCGTTTTTTTTTTTTTTTTTTACACGATTGTTTTGCTTCAAATGTCGGCTGATGACTGCAAATGGTGCCCGACTAAACTTAGTACAAACATATGGGAGTCCAGAGAGGCCACATAAAGCTTATTCTCGACCATAAATTGTGCAGCAGCAGGATTCCAGTCAAACCAGTGAGTTTGGCGGTTTTGAGACATCATCTTTCATTGAAAAAAAACTTTTTCATTTTGCCGACGCGCATGGCTACGGCAACGCGCGCGCATACCAGAAACCGGAGACTTTTTTTTTTGGCTTTAAAGAGTAAAGCTCTTTTAATTTCCCAGTCAACCACACTTCTTTACCTGTCCAGCACTGTGAAAGCGAGTAAACGCACCATATAAGCCTCGTTGCCTACTTACAAAATAATGCCTCGAACATTATTTTATTAAAGTGTCATGCGCTTGAAGGGCCCATGTCATGTAATTTTGTTTAATGCAATCCTTCAAAATGCACCTTTACCCGCCGCATTTCTAAGTATGCACCTGCTTTGTGGTCAAAGGTTGCATTCAGCATAGATTTATGTTTTTTTTGTATCAGTAAAGATAACACACGAAAAACAAATTGTCAAAATATGCCGAGAAATCATGCAGATATCAAATTCCGGTATTGGTTGTTGCCTACAATTAAATTACAAAATACAAATAAACAGCTGTAAAGATAAACCAGCACAGAGTGCGACCGATACCACTCTTAAGTTGACTGAATATTGATTTCATTGTTTCACTTATTATGTGAACGTATTGTACAGATAGAATAGTGTCAACAAAATATGGAGTGTAAAGGGCCCATGCAATGTACTAATTGTTTTGATGCAATCCTTGAAAATGCACCTTCGTGTTCCAGTTAGCCTCATTTTCAATGTTCGTTTTGCAATGTCCAAGTGTTTAATTTGGTGCCTTTTTCGATTGTTTATGCTAATGCGAATTTCCATATTCTTGAGCAAAAGTGTGATGTCATTTTAGGCGGAAAACTCAATGTTACAGTTATTTCAAGAGTTGCCAGAATTTCGGATATTTTGCTTTTGTAAAGTTTCTTTTATTTGGTGATTCGTTGTTGTGTCAGTATATGACAGTAAGCCAATGAGCAAACTTTTCTCACAGACGTTTTCAATGAGAACATTTTGGGTTCACAGTTTGAACACAAAACCCCTAAACTGAACAGCGTCTTCCTGAAATGACATCACACAAACAGCGCCCTCAGTTGTCCGGAAAAAACAATTTTGAATGTTTAAAGAGGTGCATTTTCATACATGTATAAGAGGAAGAAAAAGATGCACAGAATATGTTCCTAAGAAAAATTCATTGCATGGCCCTCTTATAATAACGACGAGTAATTACGACGAGTTATCCATTCATAGAAATTGCTCGATGAATTAAAATCTTAAACGACATGTCTGTAAATTGAACAAAAACAAAAACTTGGCAGGGACGTAGATCCCAGGGATGGGAAGGATATAGGTTTATATACCCCGGCCCCCACTTAATGTAAACGTGCTTTTTGGGTGTGGCACCTTTAAAAATAGATTTTCAAATTAAATTCAAAGATGATTTTCTAGCATTACATTAGTTATGAGCTTTCCAATTAATTTCAACTTTTGAATTAAGAGCGGGACGCTCCTTATTCGTTCTGAATAGTGTGCGCAACTTCTGAACTGGATCTCGCCATTTAAAACCATTTTGTTTTAATTTATAAAGGCCTGCCAAAAAAAACCAAGTAAATTTATTTGTTACAGGACATTAAATTCCTTTAAATTTCGTTCGGAAAAGAAAATCGAAATTTTATATAATGATCGGGAGCCGGGAATGGGATTATGATCAACCCTCGTAATTTCGTCCCGTGAACATGTCGCTGTAAAACACCTCAATACTGCAAGGATCACGTGAAGGGCCTTTAACAATAATGATGTACGCACATATTGTATTCTATTTCATAACATTCGTACAAGTCTTCAGAGGGTTTGCATTCCTTTCCACGTGATAGGTATGCGGATCACACAATACATTCAAAGTATGTATTGATATTCAAATGAGCCCGTAGGCGAGGCCCGTATATAAGCCCGGGTAGGCAGGAACAGGCCATCTTTTCTTCGTGTGCACGGCACTGCGGGCAACGATGGACTCTTTGGAGATTGACGTCCATGCGGACTTCGACTCTGAATTTCAGCAGTCTGGCAGAGTCGCTACAAATGAACACGACAGCTTAGAAGCTAAGCTTCAGGCAAACTCAGATGACATTAAAAAGCTGTCATCCTCTTTTGCCGGCGTGCAAAACATGCTGCTGACTCTCCTGAATAAAGACCAGGAAAAAGAAGAAGCGAAAACTGAGGTAACATGTAACAGCATCTTTGAGGATCAAGGTTGCTTTGACCCATGTCTAGACTTTGAGCTGATCAGTAACGTGACAGCAAATTCTCCCAAGGTTGACAACCAGGGAGATTTTGATATCCTGCCTTGTGGTGACTTGTATGAAAGCACTGAAGCTAAAGGCCCTGAGATATTTGCAAATTTGGCAGATAGAGCCATTAAGGCTGTTACCCTGCCCATTAAAAAGAAAAACTATAATAAGATTGCAGAGAAATATACCACCCTTGCAAACTCACCTGCGGTGACCGCACCCAGAGTAGATGCGGATTTGTGGAGCACAATTCCCGCAACAGCCCGCACCAAAGATGTGGCTACCCAATTGATCCAAAAACATGTGGTAAAAGGCATGATACCATGCTTCCATATTATAAATGAGCTGCGAGAAGCAACCAAATCTGGTAATCCAGTTAACTCAGAAAAAATCAAACAGTTTGCTCTAGATGGTATAACCCTATCTGGCAATGCATCGTACGAACTGAGTATGAAAAGACGGGAAGAATTAAAACCCTGTCTCAACCCAATGTATAGGGGACTTTGTTCGCGTAACACCCCAGTTACTGAAAAACTATTTGGCCAAGACCTTAATGGTTCAATGAAACAGGTGGCCGAAGCTTTTAAAGCCGGCAGAAAGTTGACTTATTCAGATAGCAACAAAAGAGCTCCTCGGCACCAGCGCTATGTACCATACACACAAAGAGCCAGAGGCAATCGCCACGGCTGTAATGCTGAACGTGGATCAAGGGATCAACCCTATGGACGCTCATCAACACCTTCATATTATGCCAACACCCACAGCGGCAATCGCCGAGGGGGTACATTTGGACGACATCAGGCCAAGCCTGCGACGTCCACTCAAGACAGAGACAAAAAACTGGTTTGTACTTGATCATTCGTCTTATTATACATGTACTTCGGCAAGTGCCGGACGCTTAAGACTGCACTATAATAATTGGTCTCAAATCACCTCAGACAGGTGGATATTGGACACCATATCAGGTTGCAAAATCGACTTTGTTCGATGCCCAGTACAAATGACCAAGCCAAAAAACATAATTTTCTCTAATGAAGAAATCCTTGCAGTAAACAAGGAGATTAAAGAACTGCTCACTAAGGGAGCGATTCGACCCATTGAAAAATTTGAGTGCGATTTGTGTCAAACATCTTCATTATTCCTAAAAAGTCCGGTGGCTTGAGACCAATAATAAATCTGAAAGGTTTGAATACCTTTGTAAAATATGAACACTTTAAAATGGAGAATGTGAAACTTGTCAAGGACATAATTCAATATAACGATGTCCTTACCTCCATCGATCTGAAAGATGCTTATTTTTCAATTCCTATGTGTTTGAATGATCAATCTTACCTGTGTTTCTCATGGGAGAACGGATTATACACATTTACTTGTATGGCCTTCGGGTTAAGTTCAGCCCCTCGCATATTTACCAAGGTAATGAAACCAGTGATAGCATCAGCCAGAAGTGAGGGCATTCGATTGATAATTTATTTGGATGATATCCTTATCATGGCAACTTGCCAAAGTCATAGGTTTGATAGTTTCAACCTTTGACGCCTTCCCACAAGGTAAACTGCACTTCCGAGAACTTGAATTCGCAAAAACGAGAGCTCTTATGAGAAATAATGGCAATTTTGACGAAAAGATTCCAGTTGAAATGGACATTATCCAAGAAATCAATTGATGGTTGGCTCTTTCCCTCCAATGAGGCCAAATCATCCATTAAAATACCATCTATTGATATGGTTATTTCCACAGATGCCAGCAATACAGGCTGGGGAGCTGTTTCAGAAACGGACAATTCCTAAATTCAGGGTAAGTGGTCTAAAACTGAACAGCAGTGGCATATTAATATGCTAGAATTATTGGCAGTAAAAAAGTCGCTGCCGACTCTCTGCGGAAATCTCACTGATGCTCATGTTCTGATCAAATCAGACAATAGCACTACGGTTGCATATATTGCCAAAATGGGAGGAACCATTCGGCACCTAAATGACATAGCGAAATCTATTCATGATTGGTGTATTGAAAGAAACATTCATATATCCACTACCCATATTGCTGGTGTAGAAAATGTAATAGCAGATTCTCTCTCTCGAAAAGGACTAACTAAAGACTTAAGTCTTCTACCTCACATATTTGACAAGATTGTCTATAGAACGATACATCCTGATGTTGATTTGTTTGCATCATCTGTACATCATCAATTAGAATATTACGTTTCTTGGAAAACAGATCCCTGTGCTTGGGCCATTGATGCCTTTTCATTGTCATGGTCAGATATGACGCCTTATATTTTCCCACCGTTTTGTTTGATCTCTAGGATTCTGGACAAAGTCTCACGAGACCAATCACCAGTTTGCATTCTCATAGCACCTATGTGGAAAGCTCAACCGTGGTTCCCACAGCTACTCCACATGCTCATCGCCAACCCAATCAAACTACCGGAGGATTGCCTAGTACCTCAACCCCAACAACCGATTCCCAACCTACACCTGGCCGCTTGGGTCATCTCAGGGAACACTGGAAAGCAAAAGGCTTTTCAATTGAAGCTTCCAACCTCATTGCCAATTCCTGGCGATCCAGAACTCAGAAACAGTATGAGTCTGCATGGAAGGGTTGGATTGGTTGGTGTTATCAACAAAAAACTAATCCTTTATCACCCGCTATAGCGGATATTGTCAATTTCTTGGCCCATGAATAATCAATTGGAAGGTCATATTCCACTTTGAACTTGTATAGATCAGCTCTATCATCGACCCTACCTTTAATTGAGGGACATGCAGCCGGTCAACATCCTCTGGTTGTAAGGTTAATGAAAGTTGTATTTAATATCACACCTCCCAAACCGAAATATAATCAAATGTGGAGTGTTTCTACTGTTCTAGATTATATTACTTCTTTACCTCAAAATAGTGAGCTTTCACTACTAAGTTTGAGCAAGAAACTGTTAGCTCTATTTGCTTTGGTGTCCGCTCAGCGAACTCAAACACTTGCTAATATTGATCTTAAGTATCTTAATTTTTTGGATAATAGTTGTGTCATATTAGTAATGGAGATCTTAAAGACTAACTCTCCTAAAAAGGGTATATCTAACAATAAGATTGTTATCCCTAAATTCGACGAGAACCCCAAATTACGTGTTCTCTCCACCTTGAAAGACTACATAAGTCGTACAGAAGATATCAGAGCAATAAGAAATGAGTCAAGGCTCTTCGTATCTACTAGAAAACCCCATAAAAGTGTGACCACATCAACTTTAGCTAGATGGAGTGGAGTGCTGTGGCCTCGTGGTTAAGGGCACTGATTCGTGGTCTGTGGGTAAAGCTGCAGGTCGTGGGTTCGAGTCCTGGCGGGGTCATGGTGCGTGTGCCCTTGAGCAAGGCACTTTGTCACTAATTGCTTCTCTCCACCCAGGAGTAAATGGGTACCTATGAGGGCAGTGATGGTTATTGTGATTGAATTAGCTTCCTTGCGCCTAACAGGCAGCATCGACCTGTATACTCCCCAGGGAGCTGAGATGGTATATGGAATGTTTAATTGGCCCAATGATTAGGGGTAATAATAATGTAAAGCGCTTTGATCTAAGTTAAAAGCGCTATATAAGAACCTGTTGTTGTTATTAGATGGATGAAGGATGTCTTGCATGATGCAGTAATAGATCCCTCCATTTACACTGCACACAGTTATCGCAGTGCATTCACTTCAATGGCCTTTGCCCATGGAGTTACCCTTCCAGACATCATAAAAACTGCAAATTGGAGCAATGCAAATACCTTTGCTAGGTTTTACCATAAAACTATCGAAGATAACATGGCCTTCGGAAAAACGATACTATCTTCAAGTATGTAATTATTTTGTACTGGAAAATATATATTACCCAGTGTGTTGATAACAATCATGTGATTACTTGTTGATGCATTTTTGTGTGTGTGTGTTTTGACCATCACGTCTCACAACTAGCTTTGAACATGCAAACCCTCTGAAGACTTGTACGAATGTTATGAAATAGAATTCCAAAATTATGTGAATAAATGAAATATAATTTGAATTCTATGAATAATAATGAAGTACAAGTCGAAGAGGGTCCCTCCCATATATTACTTATCTGCCCAACCCAAACACTATTGTTGGTCAAAACATGGGCACTATATTTGCTACTCAGAAAAGATGGCCTGTTCCTGCCTACCCGGGCTTATATACGGCCTCGCCTTCGGGCTCATTTGAATATCAATACATACTTTGAATGTATTGTGTGATCCGCATACCTATCACGTGGAAAGGAATGCAAACCCTCTGAAGACTTGTACTTCATTATTATTCATAGAATTCAAATTATATTTCATTTATTCACATAATTTTGGAACTATATGTTTCTGTCATGAACAGCGCCGCCAAGTGTCTAATGGTGTCCAGCACAGCGCATCCCCTACCACCTCCCCCCTCCCGTTTTTTTGGTCAAACTTTTTGGTCGAATTTCCGACGCCCGGAAACTTTCAGGATCTTTCTTCCATCATCCCAATGATATTTGTACGGAAGCGTAAAAGGGCCCTATTACAAACTAAAAAATGAAAAATAAGTCATAATTATGACTTATTTTTAAGTCATAGTTATGACTTATTTCTTATAATAATGACTTAGTATTAAGTCATAATTATGATATATATCTCATAATTACGACTTAGTAATTGTTGAATCATAATTATGACTTATATCTCATATTTATGACTTATTATTAAGTCACAGTTATGATTTATATCTAATAATAATGACTTATTATTAAGTCATAATTATGACTTATATCTTGTAATTACGACTCAGTATAAAGTCGTAATTACGACTTAGGATATCTCATAATTATGACTTAATATTAAGTAATTATTATAACATATAAGTCATAAATATGACTTAATAATAAGTCATAATTATTATGTGATATAAGTCATAATTATGATTTAACAATTACTAAGTCGTAATTATGAGATATAAGTCGTAATTATGACTTAATATTAAGTCATAATTATGAGATATAAGTCGTAATTATGACTTGAATAATACTTAGTCATAATTATGAGATATAAGTGATAGTTATGACTTTTTTCCTTTAGTTTCTATAATTTCCATTTAACGCTTCCGTAGCCTATATTTTAAAACACAAACCCCCAAAAAACAACCGGAACTCATCGACAAACAGGTCTTCTAATACACCCTAAATTACAACCCTCGCCCTTCCCAGCATACGATGACTGAAAATGTACTAGTCTTGGCATTACTGTATCTTGGATCATAGAGCAAGGAATGCTATGCTCAGATGGGGTCTTCGTCATTTCTCATTTGAAAATACCCTCTTTATGGTTGGGCAGCAGTCACTGGAGGGGAAACATAGTCATAAAGAATAAACAAGTACCCAATTTGTGTTGGTTTGAAGGAATAATAGACGCTGAATCTCCGAATAAACTACTAAAGTAGAAGATTGTTTGTTAATAAAGGTTCTCTCGTCCATTTCCTCAACTTGTTCATTCATTCAGATAGAATGTTCATTCAAATTCGCATGAAAATGGACAAACGTTTTCACACCCGGTTCAATTTAGCGAAAGTTCTACACATTTCAGGGTATATTCGTCCAACCATGCGTGAAGAGTAGAGGCAGCAAATTACGTAACGTGTGCATTGGATTTCGTGAGCCTTGAGCAATTATATTTGGTGCATACATTACAAGTACAAAGGTAACATATGCTCAATAAGATTGGGTAGTTGCATCAGCAAGATGTTGTGTTTAAGTGTTAAAACAGAGCCTACAATGACATGACTTAGAGAAAGCTTTATAAAAGAATGTACAGCTATTTCAAAAAAATATATATGAATGTATGAGAGAGAAATATGAAAAATGCATATCAGAACGTAATAAATGTAGAGTGTCAAAATGACAGAATGAAATGAGTGTTGGACACACCTGCAATATAATGCGTAAAAAGACAGATTTCTTATAATTTATATTTCAGACCAAAATTTGTGTTCAACTGTTGTAATCACTTTGTGGAAATGAAAAGACGGTAACAAAAAAGTAAAATAAATGTCGACATAATATAAATGTGTTTTAAAAGAAGTTGATTTTCTTATCGCCAATATGATTGGCCTTTCCTTTTAGCGAATTGCAAACGCCAAATGAAGCTTACTCCATTGCACTTTCGTTGAAAATGAATACTTCTATCAATACTCTGTGCGAAATCGAAAGCCAACAAAGGAAATGTGATTTTGTTATGCTCGGAAAAACATGGACGGGAAAATCTCAGGGACGTAGCAAGATCCTTTTTATTGGGTGGGGGGGGGGGGGTAAACATTAAAAAAAGGGGCACTTGCACATCCGTGCTGAAATGTAGACACGTTTTGTTTTCTACGGACACTTGGCCTCCGTAAAATCAAATAGGGGGTAGGAGGGGAGCTGGTAGCATCTGTTGATGGGGGCGCTGTTCAAAACCAACGATTATGCACACTAACGGACAATGAAGGTGTTTTTCAGGGCGAAAAACATGCGCGAAATTTTAAAAAAGGCACCCGTAAAGGGCCATGGAACAAAAAAGGGCACCAATATTTTTTGTAAAAGGGCACTTGTTCAGAAAAAAGGGCACTTGTTAACAAAATAACGGCACTCTTTACACATTTTTGGAGGTAAGCACTGGTGAAAAAAGGGCATTCGAATGGAAAAGGGCAGTCTGTGCAAAATATTAGGGGGGGGGGAATACCCCCTTGCCCCCCCCCCCCCCCCCCCCACGCCTCTGTCTACCCCTATTAACCTATATTTTTAAAGACGGTATAGAGTAACTCTCGGCAAAGTTTACGACGGCTTTACAGTTTTAAAATTGTCACTCATCATAAGCAATCCCACAATACATTCATGATTCACCATTACGCGTAAAATGGAAGAAGTATGGCATGAACGGATATTCAAATACATGTAGAAGTCAACCTCAGACAACACTGCAAGATACGATTCATTGTATCAGCCCACCAACTGTACGTAAGACCGCCCTCTGTATATATTTCTGTGCTATACTTCATAAGACGCGTGTGTGTTGGAGAAAGCTAGAGTTTTGGACTTTGAACATGACGAATTGCCCATGCTATTTGACTGGACAGAGAGGTAGAGAAACCACGTCATCATTGATGGCAGAAAAGAATCCACAGCGTTATAAACACTTGCCCAACATGTACCAATACGTGCGCTCCCTTGAAACTCGCCATATACAAAAATTATCGAGATACGCAATCACTTGAATATCAACATCACAGATTAGAGGTTATGTTTGTCAACAAGCGCGTGTATTGTTTTGCATGGATTCTTCATAACTTTATAAATAAGCCTCGCATTTTGTTTAATTTGATTATATCGCTTAATTATAGCGCAATCCACTGATAAAGTGCGGCTTTCTATTTTGAAAACCTTATGTTTTTTTCTGGAGATTTTCCCGGATTTTTTGTTAATTAAAGGTTTTCCCGTCCAATTTCTCAACCTGTCCATTCAATCAGAGCACCAGAATGAAAGTTCATTCTATTTCATGAGGTTTCAGAGAATCGGGTATGTATACGGTTTGTAAATCGCAGTACAGCATTCGATTTCGTTTAAATGCTATTAAATTAGCGTGTCTTAAACAAATTTCGTTGAAAGAAATTCCATTTTGTCCGTTGGTTTCCGTTTTCTCACTGAGTTGGAGATAGTTCAAATTTATTTGGCATTTGCATTTCGCTAAACGTCAATGGTATTGGCCATACGAAAATTAGTTTTATTTTAAGAAAATTGGTTTCATTTGAACACTTGTTTTAAAGTTCTGTAACGTTTTTTCACATTTCCTTCTCATATTTTCTTTACACAAAACTTCACAAAATGTATGCCTTCTTAGGCCGTGTTTTAACACTATAACACATATTTATATTTATTGCTAATATCACCACCCAATTTCACTGAACGTGTGTCACTTTGTAAACGTATGCAATCAATTAAATGCCCGAGCTGGACTGAAATTCAAAGCACACGAAATTATTTGCATAATTTACGCGTGACGTGAACGAAGATCCCTGAAACATTTAAACTTTCGTTAAATCGAACCGGGTGTCAAAAGGTTTGCCCAGTTTTGCGTGACCCAATGAGA